AGTTTACTGCTGCAGCTGTAGTCAGGATGAACAATATTCTACCTGAACAAGTTTACTACTGCAGCTGTAGTCAGGATGAACAATATTCTACCTGAACAAGTTTACTGCTGCAGCTGTAGTCAGGATGAACAATATTCTACCTGAACAAGTTTACTACTGCAGCTGTATAGTCAGGATCTGAACAATATTCTGAACAAGTTTACTATACTGCATCTGTAGTCAGGATGAACCATATTCTACCTGAACAAGTTTACTACTGCGGCTGTAGTCAGGATGAACAATATTCTACCTGAACAAGTTTACTGCTGCAGCTGTAGTCAGGATGAACATTATTATACCTGAACAAGTTTACTACTGCAGCTGTAGTCAGGATATACAATATTCTACCTGAACAAGTTTGCTACTGCAGCTGTAGTTAGGATGAACAATATTATACCTGAACAAGTTTACAACTGCAGCTGTAGTCAGGATGAACAATGTTGATAAGCAAGATGTGTAGATGAAAAACTCGCACACTTTTCCACAAGAACTAAAAATATTATCATTTAAACACCCGGCTGAGAAAAATTATGGATGTGCGACAGATCCTCAGCCCCGTACAGCCCCCCCCCACCCCTCATCAACAGTGTAGGAGGGGAGGGAAGAGGTGAAGGGGAGGATTTATATTGTTAAAGATAAATGTGTTTACCTTGTCGGTAGAGTCTCCTCGGGTGTATATGGTTGAGGGTCTGGTGAATGAGGATAGGAATTATGAGCACACTAATAATATAAAAAATTCAGTATGAAAAATGTATTATGTAATTCACATTTTAGGTTTATAAAACATTCAGTATGGAAAATGTATTATGTAATTTACATTTTAGGTTTATAAAATATTCAGTATGGAAAATGTCTTTTGTAATTTACATTTTAGGTTTTTAAAATATTCAGTTTTTTTAAAATTTTCTATTTCTTAACGTTTTCTCGTTCATGAAGATTAGAAAAATGAAATTTTTATAAAATGAGTTAATTAAAATCTAGATAATAAAGCTCTTCGCTCATATGTATATATGTTAGTTATAGCTGTCTAAACGGCTGAACCAAACTGGTTGAATTTTTTTTTTGAGGGAACCCATGGATTTTGACTAAAAAAAAATCCTCGGGCAACGTCGGGCACTTCAGCTAGTATTTTATATTACATTTATAAAATGAGTCTTTTATGAGCCTCATGGGACTGGGAGTGCAGTTTAAACCACTTAGAAGATTGTAATTTCTTCTGTATTACATCACCATGACACTTGGAAACAATTATTAAATAATCATCAAAAATCATTGAACTTGTTAATTTCTTTTCTTTGAAATTTCTCTTAAATTTCAGCATTATTTTACGGTTCCAAGATATACGGCTCATGTTTTGATTATTTAGAAACATCTTTCTGCAAAGTTGAATTTCTTCATTACATAAACAATCTCAAAAATTGACGAGGGTCAATCCAGACCCAAATATTTGTTTATTCAAATGTGGAACTAACATCTACTTTATCACCAAATTTTACTTCTTTAATAAAATATTTGAAATTTTACTTAGAAACGTTTAAAAAGGAAACCGTGACATATTTTAAAAATTATTTGAATAATTTAAAATTTTATTTAAAATGTAAAATTTAAACTATTCGCCTTTATTAAGCTCAAATATGTTATTATGTACAGTGGATTTTTTTCAGAAAATATATTTAATCATACATTTAATAATTACATACATTGTATGCTACTTATAACCATACGTAAAGAATGAATTGTGAGGATGAATATGATGGTGTGAAAGTGTAGAAAACTGGAAAACACATTCTTCTATAAAGAAGTAAAATATCTACCTAAATGTTATATAAAGAGACAAATACGAGCACTTAAATAAACTGAAGAAAATCAGGTTTTCTTCTCTTTCTTTACTCCTTGAAACACTTTCATCGGGTTTAATGACAAAACATAAAATAACAAGAAAACTTAAAAGTTACAATTTTTTGGGTAAAAAGAAAATGTGATTGATGATGTGCATATAAATATAATTTAATGATTAAAAGAAGGGATTATGACGGATAAACCACTGTAAGGGACTGAATACAATATTTTTAAAGTTCCCCTTCAGGATTAAAGAGTATATCCTTTATCCTTGATCAGACAAAGGTTTCAAGCGTAGTCATGTCTAGGGCTGGGTACGATCCTACTTTTTCTAGCCGTTTCGTTAACTGTTAGTTCCAAACGTTAAAAAATAAAAATTCTAGTTAGCCGTTAAGATTAAAGGTAAAACGGAACGTTCGTTAACAACCTCAGTTTCATTAACGGCGTTAACGGAAAATTTTCAAAAATCGTTAACGGTTTATAAAAACAGAAGACAACATTTAAAACGTCAAATCGCTTTTAACCGTTAATTTTTTTTTCAAAAACGGCTAATCTATTTCGTGAACAATTAAAAAATTTATGGTTTTTGCCGTTTGGTAGACGGGATTGACTCTATAGACGGGATTGACTCTATAGACGGGATTGGCTCTATAGACGAGATTGACTCTATAGACGGGATTGACTCTATCGACGGGATTGACTCTATAGACGGGGTTGGCTCTATAGACGGGATTGACTCTATAGACGGGATTGACTCTATAGACGGGGATCACTTTAAATTACGTTTACAATCCATACTATACATTTACTAACCTAGTTCTAGATATTTTGTAAATTAGAATCTTGAAACTCGAGACAAATTGTTTATGTTTGTAAGATGTGTGGGATTGTACCGTGCAAGGATGTAAGGCAAGGAAAGTCATTTCAGAAGTGTACACATCTTTAGTACTGCAGTGTACTGTCTCTGGGCGCTAATGTAAACACAAGACGGATGCCGAAGCCTGACATGGGATCCATCATTCACATAAAAAATCAATGAAATATTCTGGTCATAGGAAACTATTATGTACATTATCAAAATTATCAAAATTTAATGCTTTTAACCTCCTCGGATACTAAACGAACACTGATGCACCTATTATTGTTTACAAATTCCGCCCAGAGAGAACTGGTTTCAATATGTACACAGAGTACACAACCGCAATTGACTTTCCTTGCCTTACATTCTTGGTACCGTGGTAAAATGTTATTACTGGGAATTTAGGCCGCTTCGCGTTCATCTTCTATTTCAATTTCTATTTGTGGTTAGTGGATTTCATAATATTTTTTCGCGCACTTTCAAATTTTACAACATGAAAAACCTTTGGACTTACATTTTTGTAATTTTAAGCATCCGTAAACTATCCCTGAGGTCATATGAGGTCCCGATCAGTTTTGAGTTTTTTTTGGATACAAACAGACAAACAAACAGACAGACAATAAATGTATAAATAAAGAAGATGTTACCTGGCAGTTATGATGAGAACAAGTGCAGGTATTATTAGCAGATCTTGACCCAATAATACCATAACCATTCATGTTCTGTATACCAGTCCCAAGCAATACAATATCATCTAGATACATGACCATATTATCTAGATACAATCTAGATACAATATTATCTAGATACAATCTAGATACAATATTATCTAGATACTATATCATCTAGACACAATATTATCTAGATACTATATCATCTAGACACAATATTATCTAGACACAATATTATCTAGGTACAATATCATCTAGGTACAATATTATCAAGATAAAATATCAACTATATGCAATATCATTTAGATACAATATAATCTCTAGATGCAATATCCTTTAGATACGATATCATCATAGTCTGTATATAAACTGTATAATTATAACTGTATATTGTATATCTATATAATTAGAGTACATAGATATAGAGTGTAGGTGTACTTGGGTTCAAAGAGAAGCGTGGAATTGTCAATTTTAAAAGCATTTTTCACACTAGATTGCGATAACATGAAGTTTATTATATATGTAGTCTGTATAAGAAACCACGAAGAATCCTGCTTTCTCCTAGTGACCTCTACGACAGAATTTTATTAAACTGCACACATAGAAGTATAGTGAGATAGCAAGGGGAGTGGGTTCCAGCTAGCTCAGGTAGGAAATGGAAGGGATGGTGAGGTGTGGGGATGCAGACTCTATATTTGTTAACTGTAATACTATATCAGAGGTAAGAGAGTACAAAGATCTAACAAAGGCTTTCCTCAACAGGTTCCACTGGAGTAAAAAATTAATAGCAGACGTCTGTAATTTTATTTTTCATTTTAAGAGCGTTTCTTGAAAAGATGGCAGTCAAAAAACCTTGTTGAAATGTACCATGTCGTGCCGGGACAACTATAAGTTTGCTTAGTCTGTCCAGTGAGAGCTAATGAGCAGTCTGTGTATGCCTATAGCTTGTGAACTGTATATAACCTGTAAATATAGCACAGTCCTGAGCACATATCCCGGGATCCATGAGTTCTAGGGCATCACATACTCCGTCAGCACAATACTGGTTTCCTGGACAATCATCTGGTTAATCAGGACTTACGAGTACTAGTAGGACTAGTAGGACAAGGAGGACTAGTAGGACTAGCTAAATATTTCAGGAAATTAATTTAGATCCACTATCATAAGTTTTCTAACCTGCACACGTAGAATAGGGTTCTCCTACTCCTCCTCCCCCGTTCTCAAGCCATATACACTCTTCACCTAGATATAAGCATTAACCCTAACTTTTCGGGGGGGGGGGTTGTACAATCTTCCCCTTCACAAAATCAATAATACATTTTTGCATAGTCCTTGATCATGCAATATTAAATATGCAAGAAAAAAAATATTTACAATAAATTTAAACCAGACCAATAATTTTTTTAATTTGTGTAAAACTGTTTCTTTTCGCAGATTTTTAATATTCCTTCCATTTTTGGTTGGAAATCAAATTCAATGTTAGTTACTTCTAGTGATTAAATAAGCTGTCTGCACCATAGTACATAACTGCCAGTGTTTAAATATTTATACATTTAGCTCCAGGTCTCTAGTCTCAATAGAACTTAGAGTAGATGGAAGGGGGGGGGGGAATAGAGAAATCAGGGAAACCAGGTAAGCTAAGGAAAGGAGGGGGGGATCCACTCTTAAGAACAAGAAAATCCACAAAGTATTTGATTGTTTTCATAAGGCATAAAGAAATGGATGCGGTAAAAATAAATTTAAAAGCTAGAATTATTACAAGAAACTTGGACACGAAGTGCCCAGTAGGTCCATTAGAATATAAGGACTGGAGGTTGCAACAGGTCAATCTGAATATAAGGTTTGGAGGTTGCAACAGGTCAATTAGAATATTAGGATTGGAGGTTGCATCAGGTCTATTAGAATACAAGGATTGGAGGTTGCCACAGGTCCATTAGAATATAAGGATTGGAGGTTGCATGCCAGTTTTCAAGTATTGCGTGATTTTAAGTGAACTAACAGTGACAATAAACTACCCAGTGTTTAAATAAAACTTATTTACCAACGAAACATTAGATGTTTATTTATCAAAACAGAAATATAAATTCAAAACAAATTAAAAGAAGTATTTTGTGTATTTTATTTCCAAAAATAATGACAAGATATATTAAACAACGGGTGTCAGTAAAAAACTCAAAATTAACCAACAAAATCAGATACAAGATGGCCGACAAATCATGTAAGGCTAATTGATGAGGAAAAAATGACAAAAAAACCTTATCTCATCCTGAAAAGACAAAAGAAGGTTTGTATCCAAAATTGTAATTAAGCCAGGGATGGAAACATTTATAAAGTGACTATTTTCGGGCACCATTTCTAATCAAAAACATACGACACAAACAACTTATTAAGCTTCAGTTTTCATAATTAATACAAAATAATGACAATCACATGGAAAGTACTTCTTTTGACGACTTGAATGAAGAGTAATGAAAACTAAAAAATTTTCAAAAGAAAGATTGGCTGGGTGATGAATTTGATAATCAATAATATGCCCATGGGTATGAATTATCTAATAAGGCATGTATTTCTAATGAAGCTATGGCTTCCATTTAAAAAATCTGGATTACAGCTAAACTTTCAGTAATGAGCGTAAACAAATACTGTTAAGAACAAACTTAAAAAAGAAAAAGTATCATAGTTTGATGGAGCTACAATCTAAAGAGCTGAAAGCTCCTGAAATACTTAAAAAAGAGATTTCCAACTTCAGGCTGGATTACGGAATCAGACCCCCAAATGGCAAATGTTTGGCTGATAGATACCTTTCTGAGTATTCTTAAGGGCATGAATGCTGCCTAGAGAAAGTATTAAATGATATGAAGATTATCATTACGATTCTGATTTAAAGGTTCCGTTTTGGATCGAAATCATATATTTAAACTGAGGTTCATTTAAAATACGGTCGACAGCTTTTTTTCCAGTATTTTCCAGATTGAAGTATTTGTGAAGATCTGATTGAATTTGATAAAACTTAGTAAATATCCAATTACCTTTTAGTATTGATCTGAATATTATACTACGCTTCAATAAACTATGCTTCTATGCTCTCTTTATAATACTTTAAATAAACAATGCATTTTTATTGATAATTATACTTATACTTATACTCAAGACCTGACGTTACAAAATATTTTTTTTTAATTTACCGAAATCTAGTTTTGTTTTGATTGCATTTTGCAATCAACAGTAATAAAAGAAATATAAAAATTGATCAATTTCTTCTTGTTATTCATCTTATATTTGAAGGAGAAACCTATACAGATTTGACCTGTAATTAACCTACATATCTCTCGATATTCTGGAGACTGTATACATATATCATGTATTGGTAATCAAACAAGTTTATTACTTTAAGTACAATGCATATAAAGCTTAACACGGAAGTTTTCTAGTAAACCTAATTTCTGGCTGATATACTATCTAAACATCTGGTTTCTAAAGAACTGGCCTGCATAGATCTGCCCTATAATAAATTGACCTCTAAAGAACTATCTTCTACAGAAATATCCTATAAAGAACTATCCTCAAAACAATTAAACTATAAAGAAATATCCTCTAAAGAAATATCCACTAAAGAAATATCCTCTGAAGTAATATCCTCTAAAGAAATATCCTCTAAAGAAATATCCTCTGAAGAAATATTCTCTAAAGAAATATCCTCTAAAGAAATATCCTCTAAAGAAATATCCTCTAAAGAAATATTCTCTAAAGAAATATCCTCTAAAGAAATATCCTCTAAAGAAATATCCTCTAAAGAAATATCCTCTAAAGAAATATCCTATAAAGAAATATCCTCTAAAGAAATATCCTCTAAAGAAATATCCTCTAAAGAAATATCCACTAAATAAATATCCTATAAAGAAATATCCTCTAAAGAAATATCCTCTAAAGAAATATCCTCTAAAGGACTGTCCTCTAAAGAAATATCCTCAAAAGAAATATCCTCTAAAGAAATATACACTAAAGAACTATCCTCTAAAGAAATATCCTCTAAAGAAATATCCTCTAAAGAAATATCCTCTAATGAAATATCCACTAAAGAACTATCCTCTAAAGAAATATCCTCTAAAGAAATATCCTCTAAAGAACTGTCCTCTAAAGAAATATCCTCAAAAGAAATATCCTCTAAAGAAATATCCACTAAAGAACTATCCTCTAAAGAAATATCCTCTAAAGAAATATCCTCTAAAGAAATATCCTCCCATGAAATATCCACTAAAGAACTATCCTCTAAAGAAATATCCTCTGAAGAAATATCCTCTAAAGAAATATCCTTTAAAGAAATATCCTCTAAAGAAATATCCTCTAAAAAATATCCTTTAAAGAAATATCCTCTAAAGAAATATCCTTTAAAGAAATAGCCTCTAAAGAAATATACTCTAAAGAACTATCCTCAAAAGAGTTAGTCTATGAAGAAAAAAACCGGTAAAGAAATTTAAAAAAAAAAACATTGGAGCTGGCCTGTTAAAATTGGCCTGTAAAGATCTAGCATATAAAGAAATTTACTCTAAAAACTCCTTTAAACAACTGGGAAGAATTACCCTCTAGTGAACTGACATTTATAGATCTGGTCTCTAAAGAATTAGAACTAGCCTCTAAAGAAGTGGTTCCTAAAAAACCTCTCTCTCTCTAAAGAACCGACCTTAAAAAATTGACCCGTAGATAACTGGTCTCTGAAGAGCTGGGTTCAAAAGAACTAACTTTTGCAGAAATGTCCTCTCAAGTACTGTTTGTAAAGAATTGACCCGTAGATAACTGGTCTCTGAAAAGCTGGGCTAAAAAGAACTAACTTGTGCAGAAATGTCCTCTCAAGTACTGTTTGTAAAGAATTGACCCGTAGATATCTGGTCTCTGAAAAGCTGGGCTAAAAAGAACTAACTTGTGCAGAAATGTCCTCTCAAGTACTGTTTGTAAAGAATTGACCCGTAGATAACTGGTCTCTGAAAAGCTGGGNGAAGTGGTCTGTAAAGAACTGGTCTGTTAAGAACTGATCTGTAAAGAACTGGTCTTTAAAGAACAAGCTTGTAAAGAACAAGCTTGTAAAGAACAAGCTTGTAAAGAACAAGCTTGTAAAGAACAAACTTGTAAAGAACTGGTCTGTAAAGAAGTGGTCTGTAAAGAACTGGTCTGTTAAGAACTGATCTGTAAAGAACTGGTCTGTAGAGAACTAGTCTGTTAAGAACTGGTCTGTAAAGAACTGGTCTGTAAAGAACTGGTCTGTTAAGAACTGATCTGTAAAGAACTGGTCTTGAGAGAACTGGTCTGTAGAGAACTGGTCTGTAAAGAACTATAGCCTGTAAAGAACAAGTCTGTAAAGAAGTGGTCTGTAAAGAACTGGTCTGTTAAGAACTGATCTGTAAAGAACTGGTCTGTAAAGAACTGGTCTGTTAAGAACTGATGTGTAAAGAACTGGTCTGTAGAGAACTAGTCTGTTAAGAACTGGTCTGTAAAGAACTGGTCTGTAAAGAGCTGGTCTGTTAAGAACTGATCTGTAAAGAACTGGTCTGTAGAGAACTGGTCTGTAGAGAACTGGTCTGTAAAGAACTATAGCCTGTAAAGAACAAGTCTGTAAAGTTGTATAATTGCCTGATATTTTATGAAATATTTAGTTTTGAACTTAAGCTCGCCACAACTCATTGGATTATTGAATTTCCAATTCCAGAATTCTAGAATTATATTATTGAAGAACTCTCTCTTAGAAGAAGGAAGTATTAGAAAACAGATTAATTTGCTTCTAGTTTAAATCATGTTTTCATAAATTTATGAGTGCAGAGGCCGAATTTAAAGAATTTAAACTGCGTCGCTGATCCACCAAAAACCGGTTCTATGTGAGTGCCGGCTCAAATCTCAATACACTGAATACCATTTAAGTGGAACAAATCATGTTTGAACCACGTCTCATATTTGAGTCTCAGCTCAAATTCTTTAAATTCAGCCTCAGATTTAGACCGACCCTAAATCCCTACTAATGAGGAGGGGGCGGTGGGGGGGAGGATTTAAACTTTATTGTACTTAATATGAGAAGGATGAGTATAATCTAAACCTCATCCGTCCTTATGTTCTCATTGCATAACTCACATTGTAGACAGTTCAAATTAGTTTATTTTACAGTAACACTAGTATTTAAAGCATAGTGCAATATTTAGAATATGACCAGATACTAAAACTTCTCAACCGCTTGTCTGAATCTAAGCTGAGTAGAGAACCTGGAGAATATGAACAGTACGCTCCAGGATCTTACACAGGAGGGATGTTAGAGTCTAGCTCCCTTTATCCCAATTCATTTATACTCTGAGAGATATGTAAAGAGGTCATTAAAGGGATTGAAACTAAAACGAGAGTACGGGGATCTAGAATGAAATAGTTGCTTAAACCCTAAACCATGGGGGCAATTGATTGATCTTGAAAATCCCTAGGATTTACATCTGACTTGTACTTGCTAGAACACAATAATCATTACAAAGAAATTTCATATCTTCAACCTGATGGCGTAAACCTGTTACACTATGTCTATTAACTGTAACACTGGGTTTGTTACCTGTACCTGTACCTGAAGAAAATTAAGACTTTTTGTAGTTTATTCAACACGGGGGACTATTATTTTTTTAAACTGCAAGTCTTTACAAAACTATTGAGCTATGGGGATTTTTGAAATAAATAGAATTTTAGAAATGGTAACGAATTAGGGCACAAATACTACTTTTGGAGAATTCCAGTATAATCAAAAATACATTTTTGGCACGCTTTTCATTATTCAAAGCATTAGACAAATAAGTTATTGAAATAAAAATTCAGGTGTTGTTCAAGGTTTTACGATAATGTTTTCAACATTTTTTAAATCTCTAAAATTTTTTGGAAACCATTTTTACTCTTATGCAAAATTTTATTTTTAAAAAGAAATTTCTTTTTTACTCACTTTGTTAAATAACAGAACTTTAGGAATTGAAATTTTCAAGACATATTCATCAATGTTAAAGCTTTTTAGGGATGCATTCAAATTTTTGCTAAGACCAAAAATGGAAAAGCTACATGCAAAGGATAGCATATTTATCATAATTTTTTCGTCTCCTCTAAAATTTCCATTTTTAACTCAACATATTTGTTACATATAACACTATGCTTGTACCCGTAACACTATGTTTGTTACCTGTAACTCTTAATTTGTTACCTGTCACACAATATTTGTTACCTTTAACACTATATTTGTTACCTGTAACACTATGTTTTACCTTTGACACTCTGTTTGTTACCTATAACACTATGTTTGTTACCTGTAACACTATATTTGATACCTGTAAGACTATATTTGTTACCTGTAACACTATATGTATTAACTGTAACACTATGTGTGTTACCTGTAGCACTATATTTGTAACATGTAACACTATGTTTTTTACCTCTAACACTATATTTGTTACTTGTAAAACTATATGTGTAACCTGTACCAATATTTTTGTTACCTGTAGCATGCACTTTATTTGTTACTTGTAACATTGTATTTGTTTGTTACCTATAACACTATGTTTGTTACCTCTAACACTATCTTTGTTACTTGTAAAACTATATGTGTAACCTCTACCAATATTTTTGTTACCAGTAGCACTATATTTGTTACCAGTAGCACTATATTTGTTACCTGAAACACTATATTTGTTGCTTGTTACAATATATTTGTTACTTGTAACACTGTATTTGTTACCTGTTACACTATGACATGAATCTTGACATAGTTCCTGTGTACCATGAGCTGAACACCATTCTGTTCTATTGCAGTCATAAACATTTTCTCGGACTAATCATGTATAAAGTTAGATATTTTGGATAATAATAATTAATAATTATAATAATTAAAACTGCTAAAATGGTTAATAATTGTTAATATTTTGTAATCCCGACTCATAATGATTCATCACATTTACGCGTCAAATTCTTCATGGTTTAATTACTGTAGCAAACATAATGTAGTAAAACAGTAAAAATGTTTTAACAAAAAAAGTCTAATAAAACTGCATTAGCTAGAAATTAAACTTAAATGTTGCTTATATAACTTAAATTAAACCTTAGCCTTTTAAGCTATAGCTTAAATATTTATCTCAAAGAAATCGTCGAGTTAAATATGTAAACATGAAGTTAATCCGAGCAGTAATATCATTCTTTCTATAAATTAATCTTCATTCTCTGGAAAATGTCAATGAAATATTAACATTTAAACAATTTTTGTAATGTGTTACTTGAGTCTAGAATTAAATTTAGTTTAGCCCCGAATTCACTATTTTACAGAAATTTTAAGCTATAACTTAAACTTGCACATTCATCAGTTTAGTACTCAGTATTACCTGAAATGCTTAAAGTGAGTTTAGCGCCGTTTTCTTTATCCTTGAGACAAATTGATGTATTGTTGGTCAAAATATTCAACCAATCTTCATCTTTATCCCCATCCTCATCCTCATCTTCATTCTCATCATCCCCGTTCGAGTTGATGTAGAGTATGTTTGCAAGGACATCCAGCTTCTTGGTTTCCCTGTTAAATACAGCTAAACTGATTGAAGATTAAAATAAAATTATTAATAACCAAATTATTGATTATAAAAGATTGTAAAAGATATATTAACATAAATTTGACTTGTCTGTGAGTCTTTTATTTGTATCCAATAAACTACGAAACGATTGAACTGGCCAACCCAAACATTTTGTGGGAAGTCACATGACCCTAGGGGAGGTTTGTGGCTTGTCGAACAAATAAATTTTTGTCTTTTTACAAGTTTTGAAAAACACCTCGGTTTAAACAAATGATCCGCAAGAATTTTTATTTATTTGAGTATGATGAGAAAATGGTGGCTTGAATATCAACAGTTGAAATCTCAAGGGGTTTGAAGCAATTTAAAAGCCAAGTAGTGAGCTGACCTTGTATGTTTACAGGGAACTATGAGGGACTGGGTTGATCTAAGGTTTCCAACTCGAGCATATTTTCTCCAGGATGGATCAATAACTAGACTCAAAGGTTCAGCACTAGGTTCAGGGGCTGGAGAATCAGAGAGAGGGGGACTCAGCTTATGGAAGATCAGGTTATACTCATCCTGTAATATATAGGAAATACACACCCTGTAATATATAGAATATACACACCCTGTAATATACTCAACCTGTAATATATAGGTGTATACACCCTGTAATATATATTCACACCCTGTAATATATAGAATATACACACCCTGTAATTATACTCACCCTGAAATATATACTTACCATGTAATACATACTCACCCTGTAATATATATACCCACCCTGTGATAAATATAGAATATACACATCCTGTAATATATATTCACCCTGTAATATATATACACACCCTGTAATTATACTCACCCTGAAATATATACTTACCATGTAATACATACTCACCCTGTAATATATATACACACCCTGTAATATATACACACCTTGTAATATATAGGATTCCAATCAAAACATGTTCAAAGGGGCTAAAAAAGTTATTTACAGGGACTGTTAACTTGTTTAGGCAATGTTAGGGTAAACTAAATAGCCTGTAAATATATAATAAATAAATAAATATAAAATTATTTTAATTCAATGACATCATGTGCAGGCCATTATATACTTAAATAAGAAAACTTTTGAACTTGGTTCAGTTCAGTTCAGTTCAATTAAGGTATACGTAAGGTTGACTAATGGTAAGCTGTAAAAAGTTATTTTAATTGTAGTGTGAGAATTTCCCATCCTATATATACAATATACATATATATATGCAAATGTTATTATACATATTCTTCTCTGCATATTCAACAATACAGGAGAAGAATTTTAATAGAAATTAGAAACCTGAAAGACAGCACATCAACTTATTATGCAGAAAAAGATTTAACTACCTTCTATAAAACAAAAAAAGGTATGTATAGAATAAGAACTAAAAATTTTGAACATTCAAACTATTCGAACCTAGTCAAGACGTTAAATACTTCACTAAACTCACCTGGTCTGGACAGAAGAGATAATTCATGTTTTCATCTTTAACAATTAGTTTACAGACAACATTCTCCTGGGCTTCAAGCTCTACTTCAAGCTCTGCTTTCTTGACATACAGGGACAGAGGCAGAATTATTCTTCTAACTTTAGGACTCCTCCAACAGTAGAAAAATGTATACGATAATTTTTTTAAATTAAATTTAAATTCATTAAATATTAATAATTTTCATAGTTTTCTTAATTTTCATATTATTTTTATATATATATTTTTTTCATATTTTCCAGATTTCTCAAAGTTTTCCTATTATGAATATTTTTCCTATTATTTATATATTTCGTTTAAAAAATACTAGAATATTCTGAAGTCGAGAAAAAATCTCACTGAAGATTGGTCCATGGCAATTGGTCCATGAAACATTGTGTATGAGGATGCTTATCTGTTTTTTTGATTGAATAATAAATTAAATATTTTTCATATCATTCATATTTTTCCTATTTTTCTTATTTTCCATTTTTTCATATTTTTCATATTTTTCATATTTCTCATATTTTTCATATTTTTCATATTTTTATATTTTTCATAATTTACATATTTTTCATATTTTTCATTTTTATTATATATTTTTCCTATGTTTTCTATTTTTCCTATTATTCATATTGTCATATTTTTCATATTTTTCATATTTTTCATATTTTTCATATTTTTCATGTCTTTCCAAATTTTCATATTTTTCATTTTTTCATGTTTCTCATATCTTGCATAATTTTCTCATTAAAGGTTAATTTTTTGGAACAACATTTTTATTTCTTTTTAGTGAAAACAAATAGAAAATAGAAATTATAAAAAAACTGGAAATTTGAACTTCTGCAAGTTTGATACTGATATTTTTAAAAAGTCAACGCTAGAGAGGTTTTGTGTGTTAATCAGAAAATGTAATTTAATTTACTTATTAAACTTACTCATCGCAGATTGATAGGTTGAGATTATTATATTCTTTTGAACTGCAATCTACGTAGTAAGTTCTCTGTGTTCCATTTCCCAGGTTTAGAAAACCAGCACAACCTTCTACACTGAATCTAAATATATTAATTGCGTTCACGTTTAAGATTTTAAATTGTACCAATTTTGTGCTGCCTCATGAGGGAAGGAAGGCACACCACAATTTTGTTCTAGCATTGTTTTCATTCTCTTATAAAGGACTTCTGTCACCCATGCATCCTTATACCCCATAATGTCGTCTTTACCCCCTTCTCGTATCTTTGAGCCACCAAACCAAATAATTTACTCTGGTGCTTCCTACGTACTCTGACAAAGAAAATTATTATTATAAAGATTTATTCACACACAAAGATTTAAATACATATATAAATGGTGTAGTTTAAATTTGTTTAAATAAATTTTTGAAAATACAGGTTTCCAAAAGAAAAGAGAAATACTTTAACTAGTGAATACTTAAATCATCCATGGCAATTTTACTTAAACGACTGGGTTTCTTATTTTCAGAAGTTCCTCTAAATGTTTTAAACTGACCCATCACCCATCACTCCTTAATTACCCCAAACACACCCAATTAGTAAGTTTATTTAATTAAACAGTAAAACAATGTTAGACCAATATTTATTTTATTAAACAGCAGACAATGTAATATTAATATTTATTCCCACTAAAACTGTATTTTATAGGTATTAAAAAATTCATTTATTGAGACTACTGTATTTGAGGAGTAGAGGAGCCATCAACCTTCAGTTTTTGCTTCTACAACTTTATATTATTTTATTCAAATTATGTTGTATATAATAGTAACGTCATTTGTGGTGCAAACGAAAAAAAATGGTGTGGTGTGCCTTCCCCCGCTTGTCTCAAAAGGAAGGGGAGGGGGGACATAAGAACAAATCGTATGCAGCATAAAGTAAAAAGATTGTAAAAAATAGGTGAAACAGAAATCGCGTCCAATTGCGCGTCCCCCTTTATGAATTTCAGTATGCGCTAATACAAACTGATACAATTTTGAGAAAAATAATGTAACTATAAAAAAAACATTTTTTAAGAGAGACGATTAAACAACTTGCTACTTTTGAAGAATTTAAAGTTTTTGTTCTTACCTGAACCGGTCAATATTCACATCATCAACAAACAAACTAGAATATTAAACAAACTAGAATATTAATAAACTTAGAATATTAAACAAATTAGAATATTATTAAACTAGAATAAATATAACCTAGAATATTAATAAACTAGAATATTAATAAACTAGAATATTAAACAAACTAGAATATTAATAAACACGAATATTAAACAAACTAGAATATTAATAAACTAGAATATTAAACAAATTAGAATATTATTAAACTAGAATAATAATAAAATAGAATATTAATAAACTAGAATATTAATAAACTAGAATATTAAACACTAGAATAATAATAAAATAGAATATTAATAAACTAGAATATTAATAAACTAGAATATTAAACAAACTAGAATATTAATAAACTAGAATATTAAATAAATTAGAATATTATTAAACTAGAATAATAATAAACTGAAAAATTAATAATCTAAAATATTGATAAACTAGAATATTAATAGACTAGAATATTAATAAACTAGAATATTAACAAACTTGAATATTAATAAACCAGAATATTAATAAACTAGGATATTTATAAACTAGAATATTTATAAGCTAGAAAATTAATAAACTAGAATATTAATAAACTAGAATATTAAACAAACTAGAAAATTAATAAACTAGAATATTAATAAACTAGAATATCAAACAAACTAGAATAATAATAAACTATAATATTAAACAAACTAGAATATCAATAAACTAGAATATCAATAAACTAGAATATTAAACAAACTAGAATAATAATAAATAAGAATATTAATAAACTAGAATAATGATGAACTAGAATATTAGACAAACTAGAATATTAATAAACTAGAATATTGATAAAATACACTATTAATAAACTTGAATAATAAACAAACTAGAATATTAATAAACTAAAATATTAAAGAGACTAGAATATTCATATACTAGAATATTGAACCATATCAGAATATCAATTAACTAGAATATCAATATACTAGAATATTAAACAAACTAGAATAATAATAAATTAGAAAATTAGTAAACTAGAATAATGATGAAATAGAATATTATACAAACTAGAATATTGATAAACTAGAATATTAATAATCTAGAATATTGATAAAATAAACTATTAATAAACTAGAATATTAAACAAACTAGAATATTAATAAACTAAAATATTAAAGAGACTAGAATATTAATAAACTAGAATAATGATAAACTAGAATATTAAACAAACTAGAATATTAATAAACTAAAATATTAAAGAGACTAGAATATTCATATACTAGAATATTAAACCATATTAGAATATCAATTAAATAGAATATTAATAAACTAGAAAACTAAACAAATTAAAATATAAATAAACTAAAATATTTAAAAGAATAATCTCATCAGTTTTGATCTTAATATTTATAACATTAACAACAATACGTTTAAATTGTAAATGTAATTAATCCTAATTATATAATACTTATCAAGATATTAAACGATGATAATTAATGAGAGAAAGGAATCCACGAGAATGAGAATGCAGAATTGATGCAATGATAAACTGCTTAAATTTCCAAATTTTACCTTAAAATAATCTTAGACTTCTGTTCCGAGTAATCCTTTGGATAGAAGCTCAAGTGATCTTCAGACTACAATTTGCAAAACATCAAAATTTATTTTGAACTTTTTTGAAACAATATCCAGTTTTAGCCAGTTTATCAAATTTTTTATATGAAAAATATTTTTGTTATTATTTTTTCAAGCATTATTTTTAGGATATTTTTTCAAAAATCTTAAATTCCCTGCAGACAATTTAGCTATTATCCATTTTTTGTCTCATTGCAAATGTTGAATTGAGAGTAACAGATATAGTCTCATCCTAACAGATATAGTCTCATCCTAACAGATATAGTTTAATCCTAACAGATATAGTCTCATCCTAACACATATAGTCTCATCCTAACAGATATAGTCTCATCCTAACAGATATAGTCTTATCCTAACAGAAAGTCACATCCTAACAGATAAAGCCTCGTCCTAACCGATATAGTCTCATCCTAACAGATATAGTCTCATCCTAACAGATATAGTCTCATCATAACAGATATAGTCTCACCCTAACAGATATAGTCTCATCCTAAATGTTAGAATCCACAAAAACTAAGGGTTCGAGAAAACATGATTGAATGAGTATTATTGAAAACTGTGATACCTGAGGTTTAGGAAGACTCTGAATATTTTCTTTTAGTTCAAGTTTTCCTTGCTTCTGAAATCTAATGGAGTTTACTCCGTCTAACAAACATCAAACATTATTTTTTCACTTAAAATATAGTTTTAAAGTTTAAAGCAGCCTGATTATTTAAAATTGAAATATTTAAAATATAGTTAAAGTAGCGTGGATATTTAAAATATAGTTAAAGTAGCCTGGATATTTAAAATATAGTTTAAAGTAGCGTGGATATTTAAAATAAAGTTAAAGTAGCCTGGATATTTAAAATATAGTTAAAGTAGCCTGTATATTTAAAATATAGTTAAAGTAGTGTGGATACTTAAAATATAGCTAAAGTAGCCTGGATATTTAAAATATAGTTTAAGTAGCCTGGATATTTAAAATATAGTTAAAGTAGCCTGGATATTTAAAATATAGTTAAAGTAGCCTTGTTACGCGAGCCATGCTCCGTGTATAAAGTCTACTTGTCACCCCTGTGTATTTCTGAGTTCTCCCTGAAGATCTGTACAGAACGTATTGTGAAAGAACTAGTTTAGCTCCCTTTATCCCAATTGATTTATTCTCTGAGAGATATGTAAAGAGGTTATTAAAAGGATCGATATGGGGATCTAGAGTGAAATAGTTGAATAAACCCTAAACCATGGGTTCAATTGATTGATCTCGAAAATCCCTAGAATATACATCTTACTTGTATTTGATAGAACACAATAATCATTAACACTAATGTCCAAAGAAATTTCATATTTTCAACCTGAGTCTAAAACTAAAAAATGCGCGAATTTTAAGTTCGAGGTTAAAAGTTGTGTAAAATAATAAATAGCTACTTAAATATTAAACTTTCTCAATTTTAAATTTGAATTTCCCGGGAAAAATCTGAACCAATCGGAGAAAGGGATTTACGGAGAATTATTACGTAAGTATTGGTAATCAGCTGTTTTCTTAAATTTTAAATTATTTACGTAACGGAAGACTAAACATATTTCCAGTTACAACAGTATTTTGGGTTTACATGCAAACATTAATTAATCTAAAACGTGAAATTTATTTAATCGGTTTTTACTTCTAAATATATCATAATAAGTTGGATGCCGCTTACCACTGAATGATGATAGACAAATAGGGATTGCGGGATTTCAAGATTTTAACCACACGGTTAAAGTTCAGGTTTAAATTAAGTCAGAAGTGGCATTTGACCATGAACTTAAAATTTAAGTCAAAACTTTTCGTTCTTTAGTTTTAGACTCAGATATTTGATATTTGAAACATAAGCTACCTGTAAACCTATATTCATTGCCAGTTATACTATGTTTGTTACCTATTACACTATGTCTATTAACTGTAACAGTGTGTTTGTTACCTGTACACAGCGGGGCTGAAGAAAATCAAGACTTTTTGTAGTTTACCCAACACGAGGACCATTATTTTTGTTGTTTACCCAACACGGGGACTATTATTTTTGTAAACGTGTATTAGAAAACTACCAAAGAGAAGATATGACTTTGACTTCAAGGTTTTTATTTTAGGAAACGTTTTCTCTTTGACTCTCATACATGTTAATGAATTTGATATTGTTCAAGGGACTGGTAAGCGTAACTCCATGTGATGATTTGACCTTTAATTTATAGAGAGGCAAGTCCGATTCGCAACAATACCCTTTAAACCTTTGTATGATCAAGGATTTCGTAGATATTCTTATTCATAGTGCGGGCAATTAAGTGCCAAGAAACCGCGCGAGTGTACACTAGCAAGGAGAGTACGTAGTGTACGCTGTAACCTCAAGTTACCCTGCACTCAGTCTTCAACTGTACAAATGAGGGATATCTTCCACATCGTTGCCCGGACTCCCCGGACAAAGTTTTAAAGGGTACCGTTGTAAATCAAAAATGCCTCTCTATAAATGGAAGGTCACTTGAAATTTTAAAGCATTATTAGTTGTCTTTATTTGCTACATGTTTGCCTCCCAGGCAAATTTAAAAATCGCAAATTATCATTTTAGAAGATTAGAAACTGAGCACGAAGCTGTACTAGGTTTTGTTAAAACGAAGGTTATAATGCAAGGAAAGTTAGTTTCAGTTGCGTATACTCTGCGTACATTCTAAAACCAGTTCTCTCTGGGTGGAATTTGTAAACAAGAATAGATGCATCAGTGTTCTTTTAGTATCCGAGGAAGTTAAAAGCATTACATTTTGAGAATTTTGATAATTCACATAATAGTTTCCTATGACAAGAATATTTTATTGATTTTTTATGTGAAAGATGGATCCCATGTCAGATTTCGACATCCGCCTTGTGCTTATACACATTACCGCCAAGAGACAGTACACTGCAGTACACCTCTGAAATAACTTTTCTTATTTTATAACCTTGGGAAAACTACCTTGTTCATTGTTCCGGGGAATGTTGATATTGTTCTTTAAAAACAATTCTCCAGTTTCTTTATTTAACAGGAGATAATCTAGAAACCGGTTTGCACGGCTGCTGATATTGTAGTGTACATAAGACCTAAACAATTAGATTAAATATTTATATTTATATTTATATTTATCTATATATATAATAATTATATTTATATTTATTCTTATTTTAAAATTACTTTTCTATCCAACAGTGGACAAAATTGTGTAAATTTTTTCCAGAAATTTAATTTTCTGGAAAATGAATTTTAGACCAAATTTTTTCTTTAGATTGTTTGATCCTTTAGCAGCCTCTCTAAGCTGCAGGTGTAGCAAGGAGTTTAAGAAGAGGATTAAATATAAACCTTTCTAAGTAAATGTTAATTAAGTCTTTTGTTTTAAGATAAACAAGGCAAACATTAAGTTTTAATAAGTTAGTTAACTTATACAATAAATATATTTCTTTGCACAGGTATTTAATACTAGACACAAACTAAAATTTTCTAGTCCATAAATCTATGCAACCTGATGCCGTTAATCTTTGATATTTCAAACTTTATTTAGCTGATCTAACATAATTCTTATTCTAAAATGGTAATGGCAAAGAGAATAGAATATATATTAGAGTGGAAATTACTAGAAAAAATTCATTCTATAAAGTTTATTTAACAGCTGTAAAAATTCGAAATTGAAATGGATAGTTTAGGGAACCTACTGTACTCATACTGTATATACTTTGTGAACATTTACATGATTAATACACTTTGAACTCCCTTTCAGGCTGAAAGGGACTGACAAAATTCACACTGAGGGATTGTCTAAATTCCACTCTAAAATATATTATATTCTCTTTGGTTATTGGTCTATTATATTAGGTTACAAAGATATACGAAAAAGAAAAAGATTATGGTAAGTTATTAATTTAGGATTTATATTGTTTTATTCTTAAGGTGAAATAAATCTTTCTGTTAGTCTTTTTTTTTAAAACAAAAGGTTGATTTAAAAAAAAAGTTATAACGAATCAAACTTATTTTTCTCTTCAGTCACCCCACCCTATTCCCTGTAAATATTAACAACAAAGGATCAGTGTTAAAAGACGACTGTACGGCAATTATTCAGTGTTTTTTAACATTTATGGCTCAATTGAAAATTGATTATTTTTTTCATATCATTTGAAATACCACTGAAAACTTTATTTCTGGCGAAAAATCGTCTTGACAGTTTCATTCTTTGTGGGTAACCTACCGTGACGGTATTTACATTTTGTATTTACATAGTTTACTTAGTAAAGGTAATTATTGTGTAAAGTAGTATAGAATAAATACATTTATAACTTGTTTAAAAATTATATAAATATACGTACATTAACCTTCGATAGAACTCCTTAAAGGGAATATAATCCTTAATATTTAAGAAGTTTTAGCGTACTAATGTAAGCCGTTTTCAGAAAAAAACCACAGGGGGTGGGGGAAACCCCCTTCCCCATCATGATTGGGTTATAAAGTATTGATTATATTCATACAAATTATGACAAAAATGTTTTGCCAAGAAAAGTCAATAATGGTCAAGTTGAACTAATAAATATACATTTTGTAAACGATGAATTATAATAATGAATAATCTAACCAGTATCTAATGAGTTAAATTAATGAATACCCCTGTCTGATGAATTATAATAATGAATAATTTAACCACTATCTAATGAATTTAATAAATACCCCTGTCTGATGAATTATAATAATGAATAATCTAACCACTATCTAATGAATTAATGAATACCCCTGTCTGATGAATGGATTCGGTGAGTATATAGGGTGTGAAGAATCTGTATTCTTGAATACTGTAATCTTCACCCAGTTCTGGGAGAACAACTTCATATCACCTGAACACATAGAGTATAAAGAATTATAGAACACTTGACAACAGAATCTCCCTAGAAGAGATTGATTTGTTTGGTGCACTGTACTGTAAAACGTAAAATTAACCGGAGTTTACAGTGGAGCGTCCCCCCTCCCGTTCTATAATAAATCCTGTTTTATAATTATTTCGTTGCATGGAAGCCGGGAATTTTATTTTACCAAGGGTTACCAAGACCAATTTTGCCTACAAAACATCCAGAGCTCAGCAAGGAATGCTTTTTAGAGATGAAAATTAGGGATTTTTTCCACAAAAGTTCTCATAGGGGGTGGTTCATTTACACAACCGTCCCAAGGGACATTAAGTAACTTAACCTCTCTCTCTTGGGGGAAACATAATGTTTGACTTAAACAGCTTTTTTTCAGGTTTTTGATAATCGATTAGAAAATTTTATGACATTTTGTTTTTCTTTTTATTTGTACATTCTGTTTTTTTGGTTTCCCAGCTCCCATTTATCTATATAAAAAAACGTAAATGATCTAAATATGCTTCCCCTCCACCTCATCCCCCCCCTCCCCCAGTACATCTGTTTAAGTTTTTAGATAAGTGGATTAGTAAAAACTTTAAAAAACTGAGTTCAAAACTGTTGGTTAAGATGGCGCTAATCTATAAAGCTTAACTTTTATTCCATGATTGTGGTGTTATTAGGTAGTTTCCCGATAATTCATCAATTTAAGATCTATATCTATATCTATATCTATATCTATATCTAATTGGAACTATTTTAATCAGTTAGACAATTAGAACATGAAATTTCTTAGAGTGTACACAAGATTCATAGTTCTTGAATAAATTAACGATACAAAAATTCCGACCTCTGGAATCAAGTAAGATTGGGAGAACCTTCAGATCTTTAAAAACGCCAAAGGAGTTGAGTTTTTGCCACAAACTCTGATTTTCTAATCTCTATGTCTTTGTAACCCAATGTCGTAGACCTTAGATATTTCAAACTATTAATACTTATAGATAAAATAATCTAAGTTTGAAATATCAAAGGTTTGCACCATAAGATTGCAAAGATATTGGAATCAGAACATTTTAGTTTGTGGCAAAAACTCAATCGTGAAGAATTTTGTAGTTTATTCTAAAAATTAAACAATTTTTTAATGATTCAATCTCATCTCAGTAAATGTCCTGATTTGTCCAGGAAATTCGAATTAAGAGGTTTTCACAAAATTAATAATATGATGTCCGGGTTTTTATTATAAGATGTTCGGTAAACAATTAATTATTTGTTTAAAGAGTCTGTAGACATAATTTCAAGATACTCTCCGTCGTAAGAGTCAATGTCATGTATGATTGACAACGGTACCCGATAAACTTTGTCTCAGTAAAAGTTATGAAGGTTTCTTGTTTTCTTGATTGTGGTAAAAAACAACGATATCTTCCTGAATCTTATTCGCTGTGATTAAGGAATGCAACGGTTTAAAATGAGGTTCACTTGAAATTAGGTAAACAGTCCCTTTAATCTTACCTGTAGCCTGCTGTAGAAGACAGGAAACTAACACCTGGGACACTAGACAACCAAACTACACAAAAAAATAACATTTATAACAGATATAGAGAATAGTTTTTTTTTCAGTCGTTGACTCCCTGTATTGTTTGAACCTTGTAGACCTTTTAAAATTTTAATTATATTGGGTTCAATAGTTAAAGTTAAAAATATTAACGTTTTCAAACATCAGGATACAAAGTAACAAGGATTTTGATAAAAGAATTGTTGCTATAGGTGCATGCATATGATTAAAGGATTGCTTTTTTACATACAGACATTAAAATCATTTGTTAACCAAATTTTGGAAGGAATATAACAAAAGAAAATGTATGTATTACATTATATATTTACACATTATATTTGAAAAACACGTATTCTATTTTAGACATTTTTCTCAGCGTTTTTGTTTCAAATTTTTTCTGAATTGAAGGGAATCCCCACCCCCCCCTTGCCAAATATGAAAATTTACTTCTGCAGTAAAATATAATATGTGTAGTCTAAATACTATTTTAAGTTCTAAATAAAATAATTGTATCCCATCCCCCTTCCTCCCCCTTTCCAGCCTTCATGTAACAAGGTAAAAATATTTTTAAAAAAGGAAGCAATTTATTTTATTTATTATAACACTTTCAGTTGTAACAGATGTTTATGCTTGATAAATTCAAATTATTTCAAAAAATATATTTTTTCTTTAAATTCTTAACTTTTTAAGACGCATAAAATAAAGCTTATTTGAAAATTCTCTATAAATCCGCGATATTACAAACTTAATTTAAAATATTGGACCATTTTTCTTGTAAATCTTTTTTCATTTTTGATTAAATGCTGACATTGACAATCTAAATTTTGCAGTTAAAAAATAGCAGAGCAATTTATAGAAAATCTGAGACTAACAGTTTCCGTCTGTTTAATATTGTTTTAAGTAAAATTCTTAAACGATAGAAAAGTCGTTATTGTTCCATTACCAAGTTTTAAGGAATTCAAGGACTTTTTCATTTGCAATTGATCCTACTAATAAATCTTTAGCGAAGAAGTTGAGTCTTCGCTACAAACTCTGATTTTCTAATTACTATATCTTTGCAAACCTTCGATATTTCACACTAAGGATTCTGTCGGATAAAATAATTGAAGTTTGAAATACCAAAGGTTTACGCTATCAGAGATGGAATTTAAAGAATTTGAGCCGCGGTTTAAATCCGCCAAACCCCGTTTTAAATTAAGCGCCGGCTTAGATCTTGAAACATTTGATACAATTTTAAGTGGAACAACCATATTTAAACCGCGGCTTAAATTTAAACCGCCGCTCAAATTCTTTAAATTCGGCCACAGGTTGCAAAGATATAAGGATTTAAAAATCTGAGTTTTGTAGAATGACTTAATTTCTTTTAGGAAATTCCTCATTTTCAACAAAATATTTCATAATTTTAGAATAATATTTTAAATTCAATTGTAAAATCATATTTATGATTTTCTTATTTTTACTCCCTCTAGTCTCTTATATTGGTCCATTATATATCTTCCGGTGTCTGTGTAAACCCACATTATTAGATGTATGTAGAGTAAAACATTTTAAAATGCTTTATTCGAAAGATTCTGTTGTTGTTTTTAATTTTTAGGTTGTTTTTGTTTTTATTGTTATATGTAAGATTTTTCGAAAACGAATCATGATGAATGGTATTTTGGGTGTTTGGATGCATTACATTCAAATGATGGACATATTGCTCACAATTTCCATTTTTTTGTATGCTTTCAAATGATAGGAATTGGGAATTCATGAGACTCTAGGATATTTCTGATGTTTTGTAACTCAACATTTTAAACTGTTTGTAATCATATTCTCCGCAATTTTTTTCAAATAATAATCAACAGATTGTCTTGAATTTTATTTTCTGTCATCTTTTAGGTGTGAAATCGAACGTCAATTAAAGGAAATTTAAAGTAAAGTTTAAGTGTTTGTGCTACTAACCATATTGTCTGGTTTGGTTTGGTTTATAAGGAGGATGGCAGAAGAGGTTCCATCTTGAACTTCTCTAACTAACTGAGGTAAATACGAGGTTTGTGAGGTTAACAGGTGTTCACACACACACACACACCCCCACCCACACAGAACCACACTTACCTTCCACATATCCCCTCTCATTCAATCCCTCATGTAACCTAACGATCTTCCCCACTGATATTGTTCTTTAAAAACAATTCTCCAGTTTCTTTATTTAACAGGAGATAATCTAGAAACCGGTTTGCACGGCTGCTGATATTGAAGTGTAGTTTAAAGTAGCCTGAATATTTGAAATATAGTTTAAAGTGCCTGTCGATAGTTGAGAGCATAAAATAAGTTATAGAATTGAATGCAACAATGCATAATTCATTCATTATCATAAAAGCTTTAACGAATAATTAATTACTTGATGTATTTTTCTTTCGAATCATTTTAATCAAAAATCGTTGTTAATGCACAAGTGGCAAACACAAAGCAAATCAATGAGTGATGAAAAATATATAATCTAATACACATTTAAGGAATAATTAATTACTTGACGTATTTTTCTTTCGAATCATTTTAATCAAAAAGTGTTGTTAATGCACAAGTGACAAACACAAAGCAAATCAATGAGTGATGAAAAATATATAATCTAATACACATTTAAGGAATAATTAATTACTTGATGTATTTTTCTTTCAAATCATTTTAATCAAAAAGTGTTGTTAATGCACAAGTGGCAAACACAAACCAAATCAATGAGTGATGAAAAATATATAATCTAATACACATTTAAGAGCAAAATACTATAAAAGTCTTTATATAAAAACATAAAACAATAAATTTTCAAAATAAAATAAATATTTAGATGCTTGATTTAAATTCTACATCAGGGAACATGGTTGTTTCGAAAACTACAAATAAGTTGTTTAAAGTTCTAAACAAGGTTAACAAATGAATTTGCATTTTTACCTACAAATTTCTCAGATATTTTAAATAGGAAGTGGGGTGTAACTGTACATATAACCCCCCCCCCCTTTCAGGGCTTTGTGTAGTATATATTATTAGTAGTGGCAATGATTATCTTTGTGCATAAAAGTTGACCAGTCTAGAGTAAATAGAAATATTAACTTCCTACAGGGTGTCCCAATAATTTTGGTATTGTCTTTTTAAATAATTCTTTGATTTAGTATAGTAATACCTACTGCAATCCGTAAGCTTTTTGTCTGCTTGTTTACAATTTGTTTGTTTATGTTTTGACTTAATACGGCTGTACACAGTAAAACAAGAAGATTACAGTTTACAAACAGAGTAAACATGTCCGTACTCACTGTTCATTTTTCCGAGACATTATAGACACATTTTTACATCTATTTACCGTTCCATAAAATGAACTTTAGCAGACATAGTAATATTATGGCTTTTGAAATCAGGTATTACCTTGCTAATTCTTAACAAAGACTATCTCGAATTGTTCACATAATTTCCATTATTATTATTATTATTATTATTAAGGTTTGCTGCCCTGTAATAACACAGTCCAGGAGGAACCGATGACTCCAGTCCTGGTTTCTCCCTTGAGTATAATTTGACCAGCCTACTCCTAGAGATGGGAATCTTTTTTTTGAAGCAACGAAATTTTTTGTGAAAAGGGTATAAACTAACGAAATGGAACGTTTAGAGCAATGAAAAAATTATCGCGTTTAAATCGAACGATAAAAGCGAACGGTTAAACATCTTTCATACAAACTTAAAATTCCAATCGTTTTTTACTAACGAACTAATGTTCTCAAAGATTTTATTTTACTAAACAATTTCCCCCCAAACTTTGTAAAAAACCATAATTTTTTCATTAAACGCACAATTTTTGAAAATTTTGAAATTTTGAAAACAACGATTGTTTTGTAACTGAAAGAACGATTTTATTGAACGAACCATTTTACTGAACATTTTACTGAATGATTGTTCGTTGAGAAAATGAACGAAACAGATAGAAAAAAAGAAACAAACGAAGAGAAAAAAGCCGAACGCACACATCTCTACCTGCTCCTGCTCCAGGGGTATAATTTGACCAGCCTACTTTAGCTCCAGGGTTCAACTCAAGTTCCAACTCACTGTTTATTACAACTACATCTATAAATAAAACAAATTGTTCACGTTTTACAGTACAGCATATTTTGATTAAATTACAACATTTTAAGACCAAAGCTTGAAACTTTTAAATGAAGGGATAAAGTTCAAATAAAGGAAGATTGGCTAATTAGAATCTGATTAAATCCCTGGAGGAATTAGTTTAAACCACAATTGATTTTGGGATTTGCATTTTATGATCCACTATATTTCAGGATCTGAATACATGATGTTTCATGCCTTGCAGCAATCTTCAGTAGATCAATTATATTTTATATATATTTATAATTGTTTTATACATATTTACAGTGTATTTCAAGTCCTACAATCGAGTAGAACATTGAGAACATAATTCTTGTCCTACCTGATCTAGAAGAGCAGGACAGTTTAAGTTGATGATACAAAGTTCCAAGGACGAATTCTTGTCCTACCTGATCTAGAAGAGCAGGACGGTTTAAGCTGAGGACAACTGGTTCCAAGGACGGATGAGAAAAGAGGACCTAGAACTCTGTTTCTGCAGCAAGTATTGGAACAGCTCAGGTAGTCATAGCTACCAAACATGGCCGCAGACTGAAATTTCAAATAAAAACCTCATACAATAAACAGTATTATTTTACAATATGGATAAATAAGTAAAAACTTTACACAACACACAGTATTATACAATATGGTTAAATAAGTAAAAACTTTACACAACACACAGTAGTATTATACAATATGGATAGATAAGTAAAAACCTTACACAATAAACAGTATTATTATACAATATGGATAGATAAGTAAAAACCTTATACAATATACAGTATTATTATACAATATGGATAGATAAGTAAAAAATTGTGTGTTGTGAATCTTAATTGAGCATTTATCTCAATCGTGTTTATATTGATTTAATTCCTAGATATCCCGTGGTAATCATAATCATAAATAATAATCGTGGTAATCAAAGATTATGAAGCAAGCTTATCCCCGTATTGCCAACATTGGGTATAAAGATCAAGTATTCCATGGATTAAAAATACTTTAATCAATGTCCCTACCTCAGATTTTACAGATTGAAAAGAATATTTGTTTGTTCTAAACATTTTCAAACTTCATTGAAAGTATGAACAGATATTTCACACTTTAAGAAATTTCTAACATGATATTTTTTTCTCCTATATATTCCAGGTTAATTATACCTTAATATCTTCCCTGTTTATACTCCCAAGGGAGCAATCTAGTTTACTCTCTTTCAGTTTTATTGTCACTTGTTGGCATCCACCTGCAAAAACAACAATATATTACAGTTTTTTTAACCCTATCCCGCGATTAGGCTATTTTTGTGTAACATTTAGGCCCCTCCAACTATTTTGTCCTCAGAGTTTTGAGTAGGGGAATAAGAGTTTACAATTAGTTTACCTTGTTTTTCATTATCATTTACAACAACGCATAATCTGTAGTCTGCATTCTGGAAATCTAAAAATAAAAGAAAATTGATTTTATCATCACAGAAGTAGTGTTATGCTTATATTTTCTTGGCTAATTTACTTTGTTAAACCATTAAAAATAATTTTTAAAACAAATATTGATTCTTTAATTGTAAGGTAACGGCAAACAACAAAAAGATTTCTGAAATCTTGTCTTTGGAAAAGTCCTAAAATTTGGCAACTAAAAGGTCCTTAAAATAAACATAAATGGGTCTTTGAAAAAAAGGGGTCCGTCCTAGTATACGATTTTAGGGTTAGGTTAAGTCTAGCCACTTTTTGGGCCGAGCGATGCGGAGGAAAGACTAGGGGGCCGAGCCCTGCGACTAGGACAGGCTAGGGGGCCGAGCGCCGCGGCTAAGGGGCTGGGCGGTGCGGCCACATGGTCAATTATATCCTTGTCTTACATACAATTGACCCATGTATACAAAATTGATAGGCGGGGGAAGGAAAATAAATATTTAG